CTGGACACCGGTGGCGGGCAGAACCTCCTCGATGTCCTCGCTGGCGATACCTAGCGACTTGACGCACTGCGGACGGGCAATAGAATTGAAGTGTCGAAGTTTGGTGGCCAGCGACATGGTCAGTAGCTCCTCTTCGTCTTCAATCTCAATGTCCTCGTCTTCGCCGGAGTCCTGGTCCAGCTTATCCTGGGACGAATCGCCCACCAACTCGCCAATTCTCTTGGCTAGGTCAGCAATCACGGGATAGGCAAAGACGTCACGAAGGAGGATAGTTGCATTCAGGCGCTGGTTGATGCGTGCGGCAATACGCGGGGCCATGAGCGAGTGGCCGCCAAGGTCGAAGAAATTGTCGGTAATGCCGACGGCATCGACGTTCAGTACATTGGAAAGCTCTTCGCACACGGCACGCTCCAGATCTGTGCGTGGCTCAACGATCTGGCGAGAGCTCTTAGTCACCTTGCCAAACACGCTCGCCAGTCTAGCCAGCTCCTTGCGGTCCACCTTGCCGTTGGCGTTGATGGGCATTTTGTCCAGCACGGCGATGCGTGCAGGAATCATGTACTTGGGCAGTGAGGCCTGTAGCGCCTTCTTGAGCAGAGCCTCAACCACCTCAGCCTCTTGACGGCGCAGGGGGCTGTTGGTCAGAGACTCTTTGGACCGGCCCTCGTGCTCAGTCGGGAAGCGGAACAAGGGGCGCAGACCCTCGACGCGATGGAAGACGGCGTCCAGGCCGCCGCGAAGAGAGCGCTGGCGCGCCCAGCTCAGCTCGACTTTGAAGCCAGCCTGTTCAGCCAGCTCAGCCAGGTCCAAAGCTGACAGGGCTGGACAACGGTTGGCAGCCTCACGCTGTGAGGTGAGCCAGTCGGCTCCCCCCGCAGTCGAGTCGTCAAGCGAGTCGACGATGTGGCGTTCGAGAATGGTCTTGCTGTAGGGAACGTTGCTTACGGCAACCGTAGAGGCGGTCGAGGACGCCTGCAGGAGGGCCAACAAGCCAGCACGATCCAGCTGCTTGGCCTTGAAATCGACCCAGGCGCCCTCGCTGATCTCCTGGATAGCCTTGGGCTTACCGTTCTGGCGCTTGTGGATGACGGCCGCGAAACGGTAGCAGCTTAGCTCGTTGGTGGCCTTCATGCGCTTGGGGAGGATCTCGACGTGCTCGACAATCTCCGGGAGGCTGCTCATCAAGTTGGTGAAAAAGGCCGGGTCGGCGAGGAGCTCTTCCTCCTCTGCCTCCGCCTTCGTCAGCTCGTGTCGCACTGCTTCCTTGGTGGCAGAGGAGCCTAATTGATGCAGAGCCCTGGTCGTGCAGAAGTCGCGGTAGATGGCCCAGGAGCGCATATCGCCAAAGTAGATGCGCTCCACGCCATCAATAGCCAGCAACTTTTCCACTACGGAGGAGATGTACTCTTGCGTGGGGAAGTACTGGGCCACCGAGTTAATCACCACCATGTCTGGATGGTTAAGCTCGCCCAGGGAGTCGACGTCGATGGCTGTGCCGACGTGCACGTCGACCTTGCCAGCCAGGGACGGCCTTGCTTGGGCCATCTTGATGACGAAAGCAGCGGCAGACGCAGACGGGTCAAGCCCGACATAGCTGCTCAGGTTATCGATGAGATTAAACAAGATCATACCCGTTCCGGTTCCGATCTCTAAGACATTGCGTGGGTGTCCGCCATTACGGTACATGTGGTGTATGGTGTCATCCAGCCACTCGTTCATCTCGGCGGTGTCGATGAGCTTGCCGTCGTACATGGACGTCCAACCCATGAAGTCTCTGCCGACCTTGGTGGTGTCAATTCTGTTGATGTTCGCATAGGTGCCAGTCTCGAAGAGATCCCTCCAAGTCTCAACCTGGTTCTCAAGTCGGCTGTTGTCGCCGGCGTCCTTCTGGTTCTGGGAGTCCTCCTGAGCGGCGGCATCCGCGATATTACCTTGGACAGTGACAAAGCTAACAAGATCCGCCGGCTCGCCCTCGGGTTGGTGCACCAGAGTCACAGCATCGCTTACAGACTCGTTACGCAGGAGTGCATGCTCGATCTCGGGCAGCTCAACGCGGTGACCACGGATCTTGACCTGGAAGTCCATACGACCAAAAAATTCGATCATGCCGTCCGAAGGACGGTGGCGCACTCGGTCACCGGTGCGGTAGGCGTGGACAGACTCACCGTTGATAACCACCTGCACGAAGCGGTTCTTGTTGAGCCTCGAATCGGTGTATCCACGGGCGAGACCATCACCAGTGACTATGAGCTCACCCATGACGCCAGGAGGAACGAGGCGCTGCTCGGGATCCATGATGAAAGCGCCCGAGTTGCTGATGGCCACGCCGATGGGCATGCCGTTGACACACTTCTCGTTGGCCGGGACTTTGTAGATGGTGCTGAAGGTGGTGTTCTCGGTGGGACCGTAAGCGTTAACGAGGTCACCCTTTATAATGCTCTTGGCTTGGGCAGCATCGCGAGGATCGAGACGGTCTCCGGCAGCGAAGAGTAGTTCCAGACCGGAAAGAGCATATGGGGCATTGGCGAGGCACTGCTTGAGGAGGGCAGGCGTGAGCATGCAGGACCGCACGGCCTCCCGCTGCAGCACCTGTCCCAGGGTCACTGGGTCGATGACCGTCATGTAGTCAATGCAGACGATCGTACCGCCGTTGAGCAGCGCGGCGTAGATCTCCCACGTCGCGGCGTCAAAGGCCAGGTTGGCAACGTGCGCAATGTTGCCACTTGACTGCGTCTTGGAGGCCACATTGGTCTCGCGCACCAGGCGCACGATGCCGCGGTGCTCCACTTGAACACCCTTGGGCTTGCCCGTTGACCCAGACGTGAACATGACGTATGCGAGGCTAGAAGCCGTGGGAGTCGGCAGAGCGCCAGCAAAGTGCTGGCCTTGCTCGTCCAGGGCCTGGGCAATGTGGCGGAAGCTCACGTCCTTGAGCTGTAGAGCGGGAGGCGCGACGCCGGCACCGAGAAGGACGAGCTTGTCTCCCTCGACCGCAGAGAGGATGCTCTCGAGGCGGCCAACGGGAACGTTGACGTCGAGAGGCAAATAGGCCAGATTAGCCTTGAGAATGGCCAACAAAGCCACAATTGTCTCGCACGACCGCGGTGCCAGCACTGCGACCATAGTCTCTGGAGAGAGCCCACGCTGGACCAGCCAGTGGGCGAGCCGGTCTGATTGCCGGTCCAGTTCCGCGTACGTGAGCTGAGAAGACGAGTATGCATTCTTGACGGCAACGGCGTTAGGGCTAAGAGAGACCTGTCTCCGGAAGAGTTCGACGATGCTGGAGTCGCGCGGGTAATCGGTGCGCGCAACATCTGTGAGGCCCATATCAGCTAGTGCGGAGAGGCCCTGGGTAAGAGGCATTGTTGAGACGAGGGCCTCAGGTGTCTTGACGCCACGGCCGAGGACCTCAGTGAAGACGGACTCGACCAGGCGGATGGACGAAGCTTCAAACAGATCATCCGAGAAGATGATGTGACCGCTCATATGCTGAGCCTTTTGGACGAGATGGAGTTCAATGTCATACTTGGACGTGGCTGCCTTCATACTGTCGGGCTGTGGGCTGTTGGCATCTTCTGACGAGTGAACTGCAAATATCGTCTGAACGAGCGGGTTACGAGACCGGTCGGCGGCGCCAGGACGCAGCTCCGAGACGATCTTCTGGAAGGCAACATCCTGGTGGCTGGATGCCGTGCTGGTGGTCTGCTGGACCTGTTGTACGAGCGCATAAAAGGAGTCCTCTGGCTCGGCGGTGGTGCGAATGCATAGGATGTTAGTGTTGCTGAGGATGGGGGTGCCAATGGTGGCATCGTCGACTCCGGTGAGGCGGTAGTGTGTCGCCCTGAAAGCGGCGAGGAGCACCACAAAGGGGGTGAACTGGTGTGTCTGGCAAAAGCTCTGGAGCCCCCGGTAAAGCTGGTCATTGAGGGTGAAGTGGTGGACCTGCGCCTTGCCAGAGGAAATGGCCGACCGGGGCTTGTCGCAGAGGAGCTCCGCGGGCTGGCTTCCCTCAAGCTGCTCCTTCCAATATGCAAGCTGACGCTGCTCTATCTCGGTCATTATGATGAATTGATCTCTTATGTTTTTTTGGGGTGATGAAAGGAGTGGAATAAAACAAAAAGCCGGCTAGACGTGTAAAGAATGAGAAGGCCAAAGTGAGGAAACGCCGAGATGATGGATATTCAAAACATGTTCATCCCCACAAAGCAGGCGTCCTGCCTTGTTGTCCTTTATATATAGAGGAATAGCCATCATGGTGTCAGCAGTGTTCCTGGAGGATCGCTACACGAAGAAACCCAATTCCAGTTCATGATCCTCCGGACTGACATTGTCTGGATGTAGTAACGATCATGAAGAGTGCTAGTCCCACCGGAAAACGACAAAGTAGGGTGGATAACGCAGGTTTCTAGAAGTGGCCCCCAGTAAGATATTAGGCTTGTTTGTTCAAAGGAAGGAGACGGTAATTGCACGTGTTTCTAGTAGGCTTAATCTCACTAATGAGGGCTAGTGGGCAGCTCGTGAGATCAGGTGACCGCAACTTTTAGGGGCAATGCTTCAGCCATGACGAACAAGCCTTAAGGGTGGGCTAGGTAAGTAGATCGTGTGGCTTTGCGAACGACATAGTCCGTATACTCAATTTAGCATCGAGTGCGAGGTAAGAGAGTGCTTTGGACGTATGAAAATGGAGGATTACCGGACAAGAGTTATGGGGATGGGGAAATGTTACCCAAAACGGACAGCTCGAAGTTCCGGTAAAAGGAAGGAAAGCGTGACGGAAAAGGGTTAGCGGCACAAGAGACCCACCAAAGGAGATCTCAGGGGACTAAACCCAATAGGAAATAGACTAGCCGGCAGCTATCCACGGCCGCCACATCTTGAACCTATTCCTAATACGGTATGCTCGATGTTAAGTTGTTCCACATGGAGATGCCCGAAACCCTCAAATTGTCATAGAATGCCTCACACATCATCTATATTCGAGTGCACAGCCCGAACACATTGCAATCTTTTCATCATACACCTGCGCCACCACGGGAGACCTCTCTCTTATTTTACCCCGGGACGTTGGATTCATTTATTTACTATCTTCGCATCGTTATATCCTATCCTTCCGACTTGTTCCATCAGATCATACCAGGTTTCCAGGGCCTTCAATATTTGCCCTAACCTTATAATCCAGATTGCGATTGCCCTATCAGCGACATAGCTACCTGCCCGCCATAATCGCCCCTCCGACCCCTCTCCATCGAAGATGACGTTTCGCTATGAAGATGGTATCGCGTTGTTGCAGCTCATCGCCTTCGTGCCCTGCCTCTTCCTCGCCCTTCTTTTGTGTTATCAGCAAGGAATGAAGGCCGTGGCATCGTGTTGGCGATTCCTCATTATCCTCGCCTGTCTTCGAATCGCCGGCGCTATATGCCAGCTCATCAGCATCACTGACGACTCGATCGATGTGATCACCACAAAGATCACATGCGATTTGTTGGGTATCGCGCCGCTAACCCTGGCTGCCGTGGGTTTGCTGCAAAGAGTGTAAGCCGCAACCTGATATTCACTTATGCGTGACTTGAGACTGACGTAGGCATGTCTCGTTCAGTAACGCCTCGATCAACAAGCTCTCCAAATGGATCTTCATTTTTGTCAGCATCGTCAGCTTGGTCGGACTGGCCCTTGGTATTGCCGGTGCTATCAAGGCCCTCGACACCTACACCATTCCCGCTATGCTCCAAGCCGCACTGGGCATGTTCGTCGGTTGCTTGGGTCTCCTACTGGCCATTATGGCATACCTGACCATCTACCGCAACGAGATGCCTCGCAACGAGAGGATCATCCTGTACTCAGTGTACGCCTGTGCGCCACTGCTTATTGTGCGCACCATATACGGCTGCTTGGGTGATTACACGAATATCGAGAAGTTCAACCTGTTCGAGCCCAACCCCACGGTCAATCTATGCATGGGCGTCCTCGAGGAAATTTTCCTTATGATTATTTGCCTCGCTGTCGGCTTTTACTGCCCCCCGCCCAAGGAGCCTGAACCTGGTAAGTCGTGTCGTTTTAACGTGATGTGTCATTCTCGTGACGAATACATGCTGACACCTTTTAGAAGAGGCTGCCCGCACAAGGAATTCGGACGAGACCACCATTGTAGAGAAACGCTCCTCTGAACCCAACGATGCCCGCCCTGACACCATGAACAAGGAGAAACTGGCTGAGGAGGGACGCATGGGAACCCCGGTTGCCGAGGCTGCGTAAGGTCTGGCTGTCACTTCACACGTTATAGAGTTCCTATAGCCTTGCTCTGTCGCGGGAGGCGACTTTCGTTGCAATGATGAACTTTGGGATTGGCCCCTGCTGCAAGTCCAGAGATCTGGCGATTCTTTTTTTTTTTTTTTTTGATTAATTTGGTATGTTTGTTATTAGCGTTCATCACCCGTTCATTTAACACACGCCGCGTGACCTAGAATAGAGTGCTAGCAGTCGCTAAGTAGCAATTGCCCTTCTAGGAATGATTCTGTCTCTTTTTTCCAATCCTTGAAAAGACAATGAAAGTTGTCATAGAATGAACAAAGCAGGGTTATCCTGAGTCATGCGACACATTGCACTGAATATGGTTAAAACGCATGGGCTAGAAGGACTTCGATCGTCGGACAGACAAACAGAACTAAAGCTGTTTGTGTGTAGCCGAGGGGGGCCTCAAGGCGCAAGCTCTATTTCGAATGCTTGACGGTGCCCCTGCACCCTTACAACATATCATATCGAGTACTTCGTCAGCAGGCCCGAACTTTCACCTACCGACCAGAGAATACATGACCTCGACGTCCACATTTGGCCCAGACGGCACTCGATACCAGCTGATAGATCCTGACCGCACACAACCTCTTGACATATCCATTGAATTCAAGCGAATATTTATATATCTAAGTACTAGCGTAATGAAGCCTTACGTTTATATAATTGTACCAGTCATTCGTCCTTCTCAAGGCAGTATCCGGGGTGCAATGATGAGTGCGCAGCTTATCTGCACTTGGTGTCTGTACGTGCTACTTGCGTCGAGACATTGAGTCCTGACTGGAGACCTTCGTAAATAGAGATGTATGCGCTGATTATTTATTGCGTGACATGATTCTTTCTACAAGAATGGTAGCTGATGGTCGCATTACTTCAGACTGCATCATCATCCCCCCCTCCCCTCCGGGCTACGCTGTATGTGGCGGAAGCAACCTCCGTCCACTTTCCCCCTATCTTTTTAAAAACTCGCGCCTTTCAAACTAACCATGTATAAAAAATCTATTGAAAACACCCCCAGACACCCGCAAAACCCACCAAATCGGCTCACACAACCCGCCATGTCCTATGGCAACGCCGTCACCCGCGATGGTTTCACTTCTTCATTCGGCCGGTTCCGCACTACACGCGGGGGCAATGAACGAGTAGATAGTTCCTCTCTCCGAAGGATGTTTCTACCCAAGCTCAGCCGCGAAGGTCAAAAGATCCTGCGAGACCGCACCGATTTTGTCCGCAGCCAACTACAACACTATGGAGTGCCTTTCGAGGAAGACCATCTATCAGGCAACGGAACGCAGCTGATGAAGAAAGTCCTCCAAGAAGGCAAGTGCGACAAAGTGCCCGTACACATCCTGACCTTAGAGGAGCAGCTACATCAGGAATGGATTGCTGCAAGTGATATCGAGGTGCTGTCTTCCAACCCTGAGTGGGTGATAAAGAAGTTCTTCATAAGAGCTGGGGGGCCGGATTCATACCAGACGAGGACAAGCACTGTTGTCGGGGTTTCCTTTCCTCGATATAGCGAGTATCGTACAGGGCGACTGCGAGAGGCTGCGGACCAGGTGGCGGGCTTGCATCACGATACTGGTGTGGGGCCAGAGACGCAGACAATATTCTTGGGATGGGATATGTCTACTGTTCGGGAAGCAGCAAAGGAACATGCGAATAAGGAAAGGACTGAGATCCAGGCTCGGGAACAGAGGAGAGAAAACAAACGCGCGAAAATGCATGCCGACTACCTTGCGACTCTCGGACGGATGAAGGGCGCTGCGGCAAGGAATAAATCGCCGGTAGGAAGTTATATCGTTGACTGTCAGAAGATCGAGAATGAATGGCCAAGTCTAGCAAGGGACATGGTACTTGAGATTGTGAACACGGAACAAAAGGGGAAGTTTCACGCTACATTCAATTTTGGTGTCGTGATAGGCGTTATGGTCATATATGAGGAGCATATGACTGAGACCGACGAAGAGGCGATTGGCGACGATCATGAAAAAATTGGAAAAAGAACTAAGAGAAAGACAATCGCCCAGAAACATAGCCGACCGTTGAAGAAAGCAAAAGCAGAGAAGACGAGCGAACCCCACACATACCTGTTAAAGCTCAGATGCCGTGAAACTGGCGAAGGTCAGATCTTTTTCGAACCAAATTACGGCACTATCAAATTTAAAGATGTAAAGTTCGCCGCCTTCACTGTAGAGGCTGGGTTTCCCTGTCTTGGCTCTGGGATGACCTTTACTGCACGGAAGGTGTCTGATCATCCACATCCAAGTGGTGAAGAATGGGAGGACTATTCAGAGGATGCATATGAATATGCACGAGTTGGGAGATGGCATTGAGCATAGCCTTTTGGGATGAGCATTGAGAAAGTGATAGGTTACGTAGTATGTACGGCAATAGCTCCTAGTCTGATTGATTGAATGTCACCTTTATATAGTATCTTTATCCCCCTACTCCAACATCTGACACCTCGCCATCCATTCGAGAAGGTGCTTACATTACTAATATACAAGAGCTAGCTTCCAGATTTACCTATATGATGAGGTTTAGCTTCCCCTCGTTAACTAGATTCCCTTTAGTAGTTGGACTTGGAGGAAGGGACACATTCGCTCCGCTGCAACAGTAGTCTCCACCACAGTAGAGAGAAACTGCAGTCAATATCATTGTTCCCCTGGATCAATGCCATTAACTCCATACAGGATATAGCGTTAAAGATATCTTCTTAAGCGCATTTATGGTGCTATTTATGTCCCACAGATGACTGTACTTCCCAGACCTTTGTCGACATTGTGCACGCTGTTATTAGCTCCATCCTTGGTTCGTGTCTGTAACTTTATAGATAGAAAGAAAGGTGGAAACAACGAAGGTTGTAAGGATGCCCTGACTGCGTATGGACGTATATGAAGTGTTATTATCACCAGTGCTACTATCAAGCATCAATCTCCACGTATAACTCACCACCCCCGCTGTCAATATTTGGCAGCATTGGCAGCACTTCTACCTTAAATGTGTCTATCATTCAAGGAGATTCAGGTTTTGTTCAACTCTGAGTCCCTTTTCACGTCCTACTTGGGGTGCTCTTGGGAAGGGTCTTTGTTTAGAATCTCTGTCGACATCAGCACCAATGCCTCTAGCTACGTCCCCGTGCAAAAATCACTCGATGGACGTCCCTGGTCCCTACTACTCAACCTACACGAATATCGTCCCGTCTTGTTTTCTGCGGTGGGTCCTCAAAATCGCTGGCCGGCGGAATGCGCGACGCAGACGGGTAGAGTTAAGAGGGCCGGACACCATCCAGCGTAGCCATCCAATGCGGACTATTTGCATTCGCCCCACGTAGGTAGCCCTACCATGCAAAAAGATGGCCATGACCGTGTAAAAAGAGAGAAAGAACAAAAAACATACAACAGAAGGGATTCGCTGGTGGTCACCCACCCAACTACTAACCTCCCGGCGTGTGGCTTAAGTACGGCTGAGCGGACGGGAAGCCCTGTTTTCCACACCCTATGGTCGTATGTGACAGGTGGTATCAAGGATACCGTTGATAAGGGCATGTATTAAGTAATTGTGTGAACGAAAAGGAAAGACAAATCAAGGTTAGAGTGTAACAGACCCTGTTGCGGGTGACAAAGTTGGTCTGTTTGCAGGGATGTCACCACACTGATTTGACCAGCTTAGCAAGCAAGAGCAAGAAGAACTATTATATACTAATTCTCTCGCCTAGCCATCCTAACAGTGTATAATGCGTTTTTCTGTTTTCACGTTGTTTTAATGTTTGGGCGGAGTGGTGTGTTACCAACCAGACTTCGCTTCTAGGGCTGGGTATTCGGCCATCTTAGCACAAATTAACCAGAAATTAGACGACCTCTTCTTTACCCCCTTGCAAAATCTTCACTGTACTTTCCTGCCAAATTCTCTTAAATAAGATCCTGTGCCCTCTCTCCAACGGCGTATACGGCGCAGCAAGCACCACAAAGCACTGTACTAAATAAGCACATTGGATCGTGAACTGAACAGTCAGATTTTGTTGGAATGTAAGAGGTTGCTAGCTTTTCTTGGTGAATAGGAAGCCTATGAGACACTGCATGTTGACTTTGAGATTATGGTACCTGCTCTTCTGGGATTATTAGTGTTTCATACAGGAATCGAGTTTCCGGGTGTGAAGGCACTGTATGATATCAGAGACCAAGTTGTTGATGATAATACTAGAGAGCCTGGAAGGTTAATCTAAGTCCTGACACCCAGCCCTCCACTGACTTAAGGCATTGACTGGAGACATTAGTTTTCACAAAATAGCGGATCATATGCTCTGTGATCATACGGCGGTGTCTTACTCAGCTACAGCTTCATACCCCACCAATATTCGGACTGAGATGAAAGGTTTGAAGTGATGTCAGTGTATCCAGCGTTTTCCTATGAACAATTATTGAGATAATCTGGGTCAGTCTGTGCCTGACTGCCCGAGTTTATAGCGCAAGATTGTACATGGATCTTCTGATAATATCTTCAAACCATGACGGGTACTATTGATCTTGTATCACAGCGGCATTCCATAAGACTCGACTAACGGGGGAAGCTACTTACAAGGGCTTTGAATATACTTAATAAAATGGATCCAGGCTCAGCATGGCTTGATAGGATATGGTGAGCTCTTAATTTACGATATCTTCTAGTGTTTATTTCCAGCCTATAACCTCTCTCGCCTACTCGATCAGCTTTTTAATTTCACAATGAATGTAGCACCACTACTATTAAATTGTATAGATCTTTATTTTAGGTTAACATCATGTCTTCTCAGCATGGCTAAGGAATAGGATCATCCTTCAGCAATAATTCAATCTCTTAGGCCACGGGTTCTGAGCATGAATGAGACTTGAATGCGACGAACAGCCCATCATTGTTTTTAAAAAATCGCTGATCCTTAGTAAAATTCTTTGTATGCGGCATGTTCACGCACAGCCAATTATGCAGAGCATTAAATCCCACCTCTGTAACTGTTCCCAGTTTGAGATTCGATGTGCTCCCGCACAACCACGTTGGCACCTCCACGGGGCTACGATCATCTTTAAACTTTGCGTAGAATCCAAGAGCATATCGGACACGCTCTC